AGATGAATGTAAGCTAAGCTAGGATAAACCTGAGCTAAGATGAAGCTAAGCTAAGCCAAGATGAAATAAGCTAAGCTAAGATGAGATTAGCAACGCTAAGCTAAGGGAACGTCACTAGGGGAACCGCGGGGCGGATGCCGGGGGAACCGCCCGGGGCGTTTTGCACTGCCCGGCCGTTTAAGTTTACAGAGTAAGAACCCTTTCTAGGCAGAGCCTAGGTAGAGAGCAAATCGGATTGGAGCCACAGGAGAAGGGCAACCTATAGAAACACAAGTAGAACACAAAGAACTCATGCCCCAGGGCAGGCCCAATCTGTCGGAACATACGTCAAACACATAGGATTGGATACACAAGAGAAGGACACACTGTAGAGAAACAAACGTAAAACACTCAGGACTCGTACTCCAGGGGAGGCCCAATCTATAGGAGCATACGTAAAACACCAGGAATGAGCCACTCCTGTTGCCTTCTGAGGCCTCTTGCTCCTGGGGCCTTCTGGGGCCTCCTGGTGCCTCCTGTCGCTTCCCGGTGCCTCCTGTGGCCTCCTGTGGCCTCGGGCCGGCGCCGACCCATGAAATCCGCGAGTGCCTCCGATAATTCCTGCTCACGTGGCCTTGCCGTTGCCCGCTTTCCTTCACGCTCCGTGCTGGCACGCCGCCCGCCCCCCCCCCCCCCTCCAGGACAGGCGTTGCAAAGGGCACCCTTGGCCAGGGACGTCCCCAGCCTTCCGCTCCTTCTTGGAGCCCCTGGGGCCCCCTGGGCCTCGTGGGGGTGCCTCCGGAGGCCGCGGGGGCCTCCCTGAACTCCTGCGGTCAGCATGGGGAAACGTGTCGTGGACCCTGGGGCCTTCCCCAAGGGCCACTTGATCATCTCGAGCCCTTTTCTGACCGTCCCGGGGCCCGTGGAGGGCCCCGAGGGCCCGAACACGGCGAAGAGCCTCTCGGGGGCGCGCAAACATGGATTAGCGATCCATGGATTTGGCGCGCGGTCGCCAAATCTATGGATCGGGGGAGGTGCCCTCGCCAAAATGCGGCCTGTGCCGCCCCGCTAATCCGCGATTTTCAATGGAAACGGGACCCGTCGCTAATCCACGCCCCCTTGATCCATGTTTGCGATCGCCTGAGTGGAGGGCCCCGACAGCCCGAACACGGCGCAGAACCTCAGGACCCGTTTCCCTCAGTGCCCAGTTCCCCCCATGGCGACGGGGACGCCCGGGGCCAGGCACACCCTGGAGCGCGCCCGAGGCCGGCTCCTGAGGCGCCCGCCTCGGCGCACCCGCGCGGCAGCGAGGGCGCCAGCGCCGCCGTGGGGGCCTCGCCCCTGCGGGGCCGCCGCTCTCTGGAGGGCGCTGGGGCCTTCGGCGGCCCTCGGTGACCGTCGCGGGCCATCGGCGGCGCTCGATGATCGTCGCGGGCCCTCGACAGCCTGAAGCGGCCTTCGGGAGGCCGAAGGCGGCCTGGGCAGCGGCGTCGGCGTCGGCGTCGGGGCAGGCACAGGCGTCGTCGACGTCGTCGTCGTCGTCGTCGTCAGCGTCAGCGTCGTCGTCGTCATCGTGTCTGGCGTCAAAGCCACCACCACCACCATTGTCACCGCTGTTGTCATCGACCTCCTCGTCCTCACAGGCTGCTGGCAAGGTAGGAGTACGGCTCGAACGAGAGTCAGGGGCGTGCATGAGTGCACGCATACCCGTCTGCTCACTGCTTGACACCGACGACGCTTCCCGACGTGCCAGAGTATCATCACCTCAATCGTCGCCGACATCATCACCACCATCCCCATGATGGCCATCATACTCGTCATCAGCATCATCACCAGCTGTGTTATCACCATCAGAGGTATCATTATTCAGATCGTGATCAGCGCTGCGACCACCGTGCAGAGCTGCTGGCATCATCATGGTCGACGCCGCCGCGTTGGCGGCAAATGACAGGAGACACATGTCACAACAGTCCTGAACATAACCTTCCCCGCTACGACACTTTCTAGCATAATCATCGTCATCACCCTCATCAGCATCAGCATCAGCATCAGCAACAGCAACAGCATCCTCGTCATCAGCATCATCACCACCAACATCAATACCATCATCTTTACCATTTGCATCATCGTAACCATTAGCATCCATATCATCATCATCGTCCTCCTTCTCATCATCCACAAAACAGCATCAGCAGCATCAACATCAATATCAGCAGGATCATCATCATCATCATCATCATCAGCACCATCATCATCATCATCATCATCAACAACATCAACATCGTCATAATCATCGTCGTCGTCAGCATCAGCAGACTCATTAGCATCGTCATCATCATCAGTACCATCATCATCATCAGCATCAGCACCATCATCATCCTCATCCTCGTCATCAGCATCATCAGTATCATCGTCATCCTCATCCTCGTCATCGGCATCATCAGTATAATCAGAATCGTCGTCATCGTTGTCGGCGTCATTCTCATCATACCCATTATCAACAACATTACCAACATGACCACTACCGTCAACATCATCCTCATCTTCATCTCCATCCTCTTGATCATCACCACCAACATCACCATCATCGCCAATACCATCATTATCACTGTCATCGTCGTCATCACCATACGGCTGGTAACCACCGTGCCGCGTCATCACCATCACCATCACAACCGATGCCATCGTTACCATGACCATTTTCTCCGATCGTACCAAAAAGAGTCACAGAGGTCAAGGAGGCGGATGCTGAAACCCGACTGCTTATCTCAGCCCAGCTGTGCCCCTCGCGATCCTCCTGGGGCCTCGTCCTCAGGGGAAAAACACTGCATGAACATAAACTGTTGAAGTCCGCGCGGGTTTCTTGGATCTGTGCTGGACTCCCCTCCCTGGCGTGCGGAGCGCGCCAGAGGCGCCGCCAGGGAGGCCCTGGCACCGATCCAACACATCTGCGCGGAGCACTGAAAGTGTGTGTGTATGTGTGTGTGTTTCTGCCGATGCCTCTTCCTCGAGTCCTTTAGCTATCGGACAGATTCGCTCAGCCACCCCTCAAATGCAGGCAAGCTTTGTATCCATGTCCACTGCGTCTTGGAGTTTCGGGCTCCCTTCTTCAGAAACCAGGGGAGCAGTGGATACGGATAAAAAATCTGGCCCCCAGAGGCTAGATCTTCATCCAGATCAACTGCGCCTCGGCTTCCTGGCGCCCCTTCCCAGAAAGGCCAAGACGAAATGGATATGGACAAACATCGTTCCCGCATCAAAGCAATGCCAGAGAGCGGCCGCGCACCCCTGGGGCCGTCGCAGGATCCGCGGCCAGGGGTGACCCCTCGCGCCTGTAGGGGCTGACAAGCGGCACCTTGAGGTCCGCGCAGAGCTCCAGGGTGGCCTGGCGAGCGGGAGGGGATAGCCAGCCTCGAGCTTATCCCTATCCCTAAGACTGACACGCGCAGAGGCGATAAAAAAGGCCACCCCCTCCCCCCTCTCGGAACAAGAACCCCTTCCCCCCTCACTCCTCCCCCCCACCCATCTGCTCCCACCTGGAAGCCGGGTAGGGGTGATTCTCCCCCCCCCCCCCCCCGCGCTGGCAAAGGACGACAAAGACGACCGTGACAATGATGACGACGGTCACGACGGTGCGGGCAGGACATGAAAGCTGGCAAGCGGGTCGGGCGGGTGGGACGTTAAAGCGGGCGATCGGGCGCACGGGACATTAGAACAGAATGGTCGGTTGGCTGGGCCATCCGAGACGTCTGGTCATTCGGGTTGGACACTAAAGCTGGCAGGCGAGCGGGATATTGACTGCAAGCTTTGCTCGGTGACGGGGCGAGGTAACCAGGCGGACAAAACAGAGAGAAAGACAAAATACAAAGGAAAGCGACGACGACGACGACGACGACGACGGGAAGGCGGGACAAAAAACGGAAACCTCGCGCGTTCACAGGACGGGTCTCGGGCAGACTCAGACAACGATGTCGATGAGCGAAACATTCAGGCGTGTTTAAGTCTGCGTCTCGCTTGTAGACAAAACAACATTTAAACATACGAATTAGAAACACAGACGATGACAACCGCGACGAACGCGACAACGAAGACGTCAACGACGACGGGCGGAAAAGGAGGTTAAAGCGGGTGGGTAGCCGGGGCACTGAATGTGAACTTCGCTCGCTGACGGTGTAACGGCTAAGGAAAATAGGCCTGAACAACGACGACGGGCGGGACACTGGGCGCCGACGAAGTGCAAGGGCGCGTCGACGCAGTCGTCGTCATCGTTTGCCCACGCGCGGAGGGAGGTGGGGTCGAGCGCCCCGAGGCACTCCGACCGCATCCCTGGCCCCCCTCCGACTTTAGCGGGGTGTGGGGGTCGGGGCTCGATGGCGCCCAAGAACTTAAAGGGGTCGGTTGGCCCCCCCTTCCCCACCCTTACATCCCCGTCCACAGAAAACGCATTTGTTGCCGTGGGTAAGCACAGATTCCCTCTTGTGGCCTTCGTCTTGTGACTCCACCTGAGAAGTCACGGTGTCAGGGGTGGGAACCCACACCTTCGACCGCATCTCTTCTCCTGGCTTGTCGACAAGTCCCAGCACTACCCTGCCTAACCTCCGCTCCTCATCGGGATGAGGGGCACCGTCCACTCACGCGAACCATCTGAAGGCACACGCGTGTCGGTCGGTTCGGAGCCTTGCCCTCGTGCGATTCGTAATTCTTCTGCCCAGGGGAGGGGGGACGAAGGGGCCTAGCCAGGGGGAGGGGGGCGGGCGGGCGGTCATGACCCAGTGCCCGGGTCACGCTGAAGCGTCTGTTTCAAGATGTCGGCGCCTACGGCGAGCTCTTGCGATTGTGAGAAATTCGACCGCGTTCTTTCCCTTCGGTCGATTATGTCGGAGCTGTCAGTCCCCAAACCCGAACAGCCCTCAGGCCTGCCCACGTCTGCGGAGAGCTCTGGCTTCTCATGCCGAAGTCTAATTACCCTTCCCACCTTAGCCAGCCCCTCTTCTCCACTTCCTCTGCCCAGCGCTTGGTTGAGACGGGTACGGAGCATGGAACGCTTGTCTCATTGGCTGTCTGCCGGCTCTTCTGAGGGGACAGCACAACACGACGATGACCTTTTCATGCCCCGAGGGCGACAGGCCGCCGCCGGGCCAAAACGAAGCCCCGCCGACGGCCCCACCGCCGCGCGGCCGCGAGCATGAAAACACAGCCGGCGTACTGGCCCGAGGCCTGCAGCCACCTCTGCGAGGATAGAAGGCCAAAAAGAGGCATGAGCATGAGCGGTCGCAGGACCGCGCGATTCTCTTGGGTCGGCGCTGCCCTCTCCCCGCACACACCCTTCTCCAGCGCGCGCGAAGTGCGCTGGTGGCGACGCCGGACGCGTCGCCAGGGGTGTGGGAGGGGACCAACGCCCAGCGCCGCACCAAGAAACCCGCGCGGATCTCCGAAAGCTTATGCTTGCGCAGTGTTTTCCGCCTTCTGGAGGAGGCGTCGGCGGCGCCCTCCGCACGCGGGGGCAGCCGCAGCCGCGCCAGCCGCGCCAGTTGCGCCCGCGAGTGCCTGCCCAGCCGCTCGGCCTCATGCCTCATCCCTCCGCCAGCGCGGCGCAGGTGGTCGACGGCCTCACCGGGCAAGCGCCACAACTTCAGCAACTCCTCGCGGAGCTCCTCGCTGGGCAGGTTCCGCAGCAGGCCCCGCAGCCTCAGGAGGTTCTCGCGGGGCTCGGAGGGACGGCGGCCCCGCCGGAAGCGACGAGAGGAGGCCCGATCCAGACCGCCTCGCGTCGTGAAGCAGGTCCGGGGAAAGAGGCCCTGGCTTCTGGGTGCTCACGCTATCAGTAATCACGCCACAAGAGCTTGGATGCCCATCAGCAAATATTTCCCAAATTCGACAGCGGCCGCTGCTGCGCAGGCGAACTTATCTCAAGTGGACAAGGCCCGCGGCGATGCCGACAGCAGGTCATGTTCAAAACGGGCAGGAAGTGTTGTCGGCCTCCGTGCCCATTCTTTCCGTACCACTTTCGAACGTGACGCAGGAGGTCAGGGATCGCGGCAAGCCGCTCCCGAGCTCCGCCGGCCATGGGCCAAACCGTGGGCAGCCCGTGGCGCTTCGGGGCGGCGATGCCGCCCAGAAGTCCAGCGTGTAGGCCGCAGCTTCGGGATGGCTCGTCGGCCAGGTGCTCCCTGGGCAGCCCCGCGCTTGGCCACTCAGTGGGAGGCTGTTTGCCTGTATATTCCGTCAAGGTTGCTTTCATGGAGGATGTGAAGTGGGCGGGAGATACCTGAACCTCGCCCAGGTTGGGACACACTTGCACGCCTTTTCGGACCAACGCTGTTTGAACAGGCGGCGGAGGGAGGGGTGGGGAAATGCTGCAAGCAACCTGGCCTGAATGCACAGAAACAAAAAAAAACAACCTCTTTGTGGGACGCCCAACCTGGGCCATCCCGGCACAGGGCATCGGTGAGGTCTCGCCAGCCATAAACACCTCTTCGAGCTTACAGCATGCGATCACCAAGCCACCATGCAGAGAGGCCCTCAAGACCGAGCAGGAAAGGGGGGGCGGGCGGGGGGGTTGGGCCACGAGGCACGAGTGGCCGAACCTCCGGGCAACAGGCATCCTGAAGAACACCAGGGGGCCACAATGGCGTCATGAGGGGCCCACAAACTGGCCTCGCAGCAGGAATTCCACCAACCATCTGGGCGAACGGGGGTGGGGGGGGAGCGAGCGGCCAGAGCGTCCACGACAACCCAGGATGGCTCAAAGAGGACCTCAAAGAGCCGAAGATGACATCCAACATGGTTCAAGAGACCCCAAAATAGCTCAAGATGGCCTCCAAAATACTCCGAAAACAATCTAAGACGGGTCCAAATGGCCACGGAACCTCACAGAAAGGCCCCACAAAAGCCAGACTTCCCCAAAGACATGCGGCCTTCTCGCCGATTCGCGTCCGATGGCCGTCCGAGGCCTCAACATGTCCCCAGAAGGCACAAGATGGCCCCAAGAGGGCCCCCAAGGTCCCAACACGGTCCCAAGAACGACCAAGGGCGCCTGAAGAGCTCCCCAAGGGGGCCCCAAGAGGCAAGTGTTCGGCTTCTGACGGAGGAGCGGAGGGGAAGGGAGAATGAACGCCGACCCTATGTTTCCAGCCATGGGACCTAAGATCGCCCCTGAGAAGGCCCCAGCATCGCCAAAGGAGCCCCGAGATGGCCACAAGAAGGCCAACAACGCTTCCACTATGGCGCCAAGGTGGCTCCTAGAGGCTTCCCAGAGGTTCGCGGGACGAGAGCTTTGCGAAGGCTTTCATGGTTGATGAGTCGTCACTGTCGTCGTCGTCGTCGTCGTCGTCGTCAATCCTTATTCCTCCCCGCTCTTCTTCCTCTTTTCATCCGCCCCTAGCCTCCTCGTCCTCCTCCTCCTCCTCCTCCTCCTCCTCCTCCTCCTCCTCCTCCTCCCTCTCCCTCCCTCCCTCCTCCTGCGTTCCTGCTTCCTTTCTCATCCTCTTTCCAAAACTAGCGGCCACCAAGACCAAAAACTCCGTTCGACGGCTTCCCCAGCTATTTGTTCCATTGCGTGCGCCCCCATTTTCCTGGTCAAACCAACTCACCAGGGCTTCGTTGCTTGATGGGCAGGTGAGGATACGCGAATATTCAATAGATACTATAGGACGCTGGTCTGCGAGCATCTGGTTCATATCCTGGAGTCCAACACGAGGGGGCAACGCGGAATCCACAAGAAGTCCAGCATGTGTGATACAGGAAGCGAAAAACCTTACAGCCCCCTACGTTTCACGTGTCACGCGGATTGCTGCTATCATGGATGCGACATGCACTATCTGAACTGATTCGTCGATGCGAATGCTCTCATATGTTAAGATTTAATGAGGCGGTGTGGCCAGATGCCTGGTCCTACGCTACCCGCTCCATTGGCCCATCTGTCGAATTACCCCCGCGAGCCCAGTCGACGGCCACAGAACTGTCTCGCATTGCCCGGAAGATCACAAATCAGCCTGTGGCCCCATGGGTGACCCGCAGGATGCCCTTGCATTGCTCAATATTGCCGGGGTGGGCCCCAAGAGCCTGCCCCCAACAAGACCCGCACACGCACCCTTACCCAACTGCCCAGACGCCAGGAATCCGCCCAAAGAAGCGGCCGGCAACAACAGGCGAATCCCGCTGGATCCGCCGCAAAGCCCGTGCCCAGACGGGTGCTGGGCGGGCCGAGCTCTAAATCACCCGCCGGCTTGGCCCTCCAATCATCTCCACAAGCCTTTCGCCCTCTGCCGCCGAACCCGTATTCACTCCCATTGCTCACCGGGTCCGGGTGGCCTCCTCACATCTTGAGAGACCTTCCAGGATGGCCAGAGATCTCGCCAAGATGGCCCACGCGGCGGACAGTGCGCCCCCAGACGGCCCAGGAGGGCCCGAGACAGCGGCCAGACGGCGCCAAGGGGAGCCGAAGACGGCCTGGGAAACCCCTGGGATGCCTCCAAGGCAGGCCGAGGACGCTCACGCGGCAAAGAGGACGCTCACGCGCGACACTTTGTGGGCAGCTTGCGCGCGAATGCCCGCTCAGTGGACCCCTCCCCCTTCCAGCACCACTCAAGCTTGGCACCAGAGAAAAGGAGTCCCAGCGGAAGAGGCCCTGGACGGGCCGTTCGTTCCCCAGACAAGCTTTTCATCCCGAAGTCGTTTCTCGACCGCGCCAGAGCCCAGCGAAGAGCCCCCCAGACATGGCGAAACACCCAGAGATCCGACGACGCGAAAAAATGCAGCACCGTGAAACATCACGACGGAACCCTGTACCCTCCTTCCTGCGCCACTTTTCGACCAGGATCGATCTGTGAGGGCCCCAGGGGCCTGAACCTCGGCGAACAGCTTGCATCGCCCGGATCTCAAGGAAAATGAGCGCCCAGACACAGCGAACCACCTTCAGGACCTGGCGCTCCAAGTGGGGAGCCACCAGCCTGCCTTGGTTTGGGGGTCCCAAAACCGTGAGGTGACAGACCGTGGGGCGACCTCGAAATCCCAAAGGACCTCACCGCACGCTCTGGGGGCCCGATTCGCCGGAGACGCGCTCGGAAAACGTCCCGAGTCCCAAAATCGTGCGGCTAACTCGAATCCCTACTGACCCACCACACGCTGTGTCGTGTTGTATGTTTGGGGGACCTCGCATGTCTCATCGCGCCAGCCTTCCGTGTCGAATCCGCGTCCAACCCGCGTCGGAGACATGCCGACCACTTCGAATCCGTGTCGACTCTGTGTCGAATTCACGTCGCGTCGGCGCCGAACCCACGCTGGAGATCAAGAGAAGCCTGCCCCTTACAAGACAGGAAGTGCCCCCCGAAGATGCCGTTTGGGGGGCCCCGCCGCGAAGGATCACCCGCTGGCCTGCCCCTGTCAAACGCTGTCGCCCTGATGGCGGGGCGACCGGAGGCCGAGACGAATGGAGGGCGAGGAGGAGGAGGAGGAGGAGGAGGAGGAGGACTAACGCCACAGCTTCACGCTCAAGTTGGTCAAACTAAAAACAGGAGGAGGAGGAGGAGGAGGAGGAGGGGCACCAAGTCGTTTGGGGGGGACCGAAGATGGGGGTGTCGCCACCCTGCCTGGGGCTGCTCAGGAGCTCCCCGGAGTGGGGATATCGGGGCCACCACTGCACCACTAGACCCTCGGAGTTGCTCGATCCTCGATCCTCGATCCAGCAAAAGGAGCGTCGAATACCCTCTCGAGGGCTGAGGTCCGAGAAGTGCAAGCCGTCGAGCAAAGAGGCTCACCACCGCACCACCGTCGATGCATCGTCGACGTCGGCGATGCATCGACGACGTCGACGAGGAGAAAATCGAGCCCCACATCGAACTGCATCGCCGATGCATCGGCGATGCGGTGCGATCCTCTGACCCCATACACTATGGGCCCATCAATGGGAGGCCAGTAGAGTCCCGGCGCCATGCCAGGGGCTGCCCGGCGGCTCCGCGGAGGGAGGCTGCCCAGGGGCCTCCGCAGCACCACCCAGACCCCCGACGCCATGACTTTTTCATGAGAGATCCATTCCCCAAGAGGTCTCGACCCGTTCCCTGGGTCCCGTTCTTCATCCCGAGTCGTCTTTCGAGGGCCCCGCGGCGAGGGAAGGACCCTCAGAGCCAGAAAATAGGGAGAAGCCTCCCGTCGTGATCTTCGTCATGACTCGGCGGCGAGCGAGGGGGGGAAGTGAAAAGGAGAAGGCCTTCTCAGCAGGCTGCGGGACTTCCCACAAGCCCTCGGGCCTTCCGAGAGGTCTTCTGCGTCTTCGGGGAAGGAGCGGCCGCCGCCGCACTCGGGGATCTTCTGACCCGGGTCATTCCAGACCCGGGTAAGTCGGGCCTTGCAGAATCCTACAGGATCCTGCCAGATCCTGCAGGACCCTGCACCCAAACCCGGGCCACTGCGACCCTGGCCCTGCAGGGTCCAACAAAATCGGGCGCTCTGGCTGACCCCCGTTTGCATTGACCCCCGTCTCTTGAGCCCCGACGCGCCGCTATGATGGCGTCGTTTGCATTGCCCCCCGTGTCTTGAATTTTGAGCCGGCTACGATTCCCGCTCGTGCCCGCCCCGTCCGGTCGCCAGGGCCTCCGCGTCCCCCTCTCATGGTGGGATGGGGCGACGTTCGCCGCCGCCGCCGCACCGCCTCCCCCACCGCCCCCGGGGGGGCCGTCCGTCCCCCGAGCCCGGGCTCGCGCGCCGCGGCCACGGGCGGCCACCGCCGCAGCAGCGCCTGCCACTGGTGGGCGGGGCGGGCCCGCGGCTCCTTTGGGGGGGGGGGGGGGGGCACGCTTCGGAGCCACCCCCCCAGGAGGAGGAGGAGGAGGAGGAGGAGGAGGACAAACAAAAAGGACGAGGAGGACGAGGAGGAGGAGGAGGACAACAAAAAAACGAGGAGGAGGACTTCCCTTCTGTTCCGCGCAGCCTCCCCGGAGATCCTGGCGTCTCGATTTTTTAGGGTCGGGCGTTGTCGCCCGATTTCGAGCCCTGAGACCCTCAGAGATCCATCATGATCGAAAAATGTCTAGAAAGATGTGGTGTCGGAGGTGAGGGTGATGCGATCGAAGTGGAACGGAGAGCCCCCCTACCGGGAAATCGGTTTCGGTTTCGTGTTCGTGCGTGCCGTGCGTGCGTGCGAGGCATATCTGCGTGGGCGGGCGAGAAGAAAATCTCCTCCGGCTGAGGCGCGGCCGGACCAAATGTTTCCTTGCCCGGGGCTGGTGCCGCGCGGTGTCCCGCCGGTGTCCTGCCTCCGGCTGAGGCGCGGCCGGACCAAATATTTCTTTTCCGGGGGCCGGTGCCGCGCGGTGTCCCGCCTGTGTCCCGCTGGTGTCCCGTCGGAGTCCCGATGATGATGATGATGATGATGATGATGATGATGATGATGATGATGATGATGATGATGATGATGATGATGATGATGATGATATTGATGATGAGGATGATGATGACGAAGATGATGATGATGCTGATGATGATGATGTCGATGATGCTGATGATAATGATGGTGGTGATGGTGGTGATGGTGATGGTGTCCCGATGATGATGTTGACGATGTTGATGATGATGATGGTGATGGTGGTGATGATGATGATGATGGTGTCCCGATGATGATGCTGATGTTGATGTTGATGATGGTGGTGACGATGATGGTGTCCTGGTGATGATGATGATGATAATGATGAGATGATGATGCGATGATGATGAAGATGATGATAGAAATGATGGTGATGATGTCCGGATGATGATGATGAGGTTAATGATGATGCTGTTGATGATGATGGTGTTGATGATGGTGGTGTCTCGATGATGATCATGTTGATGGTGATGATGATGATCATGCTGGTGCCCCGATGATGATCATGTTGATGACGGGGATGATGATGAGATGATGATGATGATGATCATGATGATGATGATGATGATGATGATGGTTTTGATGATGGTGGCCCGATGATGGTAGCCCGATGATGGTGATGTGTATGGTGATGATGGTGTCCCAGTGATGATGCTGATGATGGTGATGATGATGATGGTGACGATGATGATGGTGTCCCAGTGGTGATGATGTTGATGATGATGATGATGTTGCTGATGATGATGATGGTGTCCCAATGATGATGATGTTGATGATGTTGTTCAATGGTGATGATGCTGGTGCTCCGCTGATGATGATGATGATGATGATGGTGTCCCGATGATGATGCTGATGTTGATGTTGATGATGGTGGTGACGATGATGGTGTCCCGATGATGATGATGATGGTGATGATGATGATGATGGTGATGATGTTGATCTTAATGCTAATGGTGATGAGGTGATGATGATGGTGTCCCGATGATGATGATGATGATGTTGATGACAATGATGATGACGTTGATCGTGAGATCGATTGTGATATCGATCGTGAGATCGATTGTGAGACCGAATGTGAGATCGATTGTGAGATCGATAGTGAGATCGATAGTGAGATCGATTGTCCGATCGATTGTGAGATCGCTCGAATGAAATAGATCGAGTGAGATCGATTGTGAGATCGATCGAGCGGGACCGATAGTGAGATCGATAGTGAGACCGATCGAATGAGACGTTGGTTCCTCCCCCCCGAACCTCCTTATCACCCGAAGGGTGGTCGTATAGTAGGGCTCTGGTCGCGGTTGTTCGAGATGTTGCAATCTGTTCCGCAACGTCGGATCTCAGAAATGATTGTGCCTCAGACTCCACGACAGACTCAGAGGTTGCCAGAGGTTGCCCCTAGCCCAAAGGTGCCCCCAGCTTCTCGTGCTCTCCAGCTGCCCCCCTGGCGCACTTTGGGCCGTGTGAATGGCCCTCCGTGGGCCACCTGTGCGACGCCCAGATATGACAATATCCACTGCAGGTGGGTCGTGTTCCGAGGGCTCGGGAAGCAGTGGACGTGGATGTCTGCCCGCCCATGCGGGTCGGCAGATACACATATCCACCGCTCCTTGAGATCTCGGGGCACGACTCCAAAGCGGTGGATGTGGACATAATCTGGCGGTGGAACCTGGACCTCCTTGGAGATGCTGCGTCACCTTGGGCCGGGGCCACTCCTGGCAGCGCTAGGCTCGGGGACCATTCGAAAACCCCACGAAGCCTGGGATCGGGGTCGACATATCCCCCGTTGTCCTCCATTGTTTTCGAGCTGTGAGGAGTGCGACAATAGAGGCCTCCTAGATGGGGCCAGAGTGGATGGGGTCGGAGGATCGTGCCGCATCGCCGATACATCGGCGATGCATCGGCGATGCACCGGCGATGCATCATCGACGTCGGCGATGTATCGGCGACGTCGACGTGAAGCAAATCGGGCTCCACATCGAGCCGCATCGCCGACGCATCGGCGATGCGGCATGATCCTCCGACCCCATCTACTCGGACCCCATCTGGGAGGCCTAGAGACAAGGCCGGGATCTTCAAACTCAGGGACGTGCCCAGCAGCAGCCCCCCGTGCTGCAAAGGAGCCGCCCTCCACCCCGTACAGTCGTGCCACAGCGTCGACAAGTTGGCACAAGGGCGAACGCAGCCTCGAGCGAGATCTCCCTTTTGAAAGCAAGCCGCCCTCCACCCGTGTAGGTGTTGGGTAAGTTCACGCTGGTGGAAACATCATTTGAGGAAGTATCAGGCAAGGTCCCAATTCCGAAAACGACTGGCCCTCCATCCGTGCAGCTGTTCGAAACTCTACAGGCGAATGTGCCAGCGAGAACACCATTGTGACAACGGCCGGCCGAAACGTTAAACTTCTGGACAATGCATTGAAGCGAAGTCTCAGGCAAAACCACCAGCCCGGCCTACGGACACGTCTGGTGGCGCGGCAGGGAGGCGTGATTTGCCAGGACGAGGGATGGATACGAAAAATACAAGAGAGTGAGAAGGAGAAGACAGATGGGGATGGGTAGGTGGAGGGGCGGGGGAATGGCGAGCCTAAGGACAGGAAGGAGCAACGGGGAGGGGTGAAGATGGTGCATCTGGCATGTCCTCGCAATGACTGCTCTCAGCCTGGCTCCTGTCATCATGTCAACCATTCGACCTTGACCGATCTACCATCGTGGTCCCCAAAGGCTGCTGGGAGTGTTCAATATTGAATGCCCGCGCAAATGCTGCCGCGGTGCTGAGGCGGCGCAAACCCGCCGTATATTTCTTTGCTGTCACCAGTCGGTCCTCGCAGTCGTAGCCAGGCGTTCGGGACACCCGCGCCTGCGGCGGCGATCTCAACTGTGTTCCGCCCTCCTCCCTCACCTCCCCATACTCAATCCTCCCTCCTTCCCGCCCCCCCTCCCCACCTCACTTCTCATTCCTCACTTAGTTCTCCGCACTCTTCGTTCTTCCTCTTTCCCTCCCGCTCCTCGCCCCTCCCTCCCTCCCCCTCTCGTGGTCATTGCCTTTCTTCTCCTCAACCCTTGTCATCTTCCTCCTCCGCACTTGCGCACGCACGCAGGATGCCGCGCCTAGCCGGCGCATCGCCAAGAAGTGAAACACGTGAGGAAAACATGTGTGCTGACACATGCAAGGGGATATGGACAAAATGGCCCAGTGCAGTGCCTCGGCGAACGTACGTCAGAATGCGTTTGTCATCCCCCGCCGCCTTCTCAAGACCGCATCCTACAACAACTCTTTCTTTCGCTTCCTCAACAAACTTGACCCTGCTGCTGCTCTCCTTCCAGCTCATCCCTCCCTCCTCCTCCCCCTCCTCCTCCTCCTCCTCCTCCTCCTCGCCTCCTCCTCCTCCTCCCCCTCCTCCTCCTCCTCCTCCTCCTATGTTTGTTCCCGTATCGTCATGTTCCTCTTGTCTTCACCCACCTTCTCCCTTCTCCCTGCTCTCTGCGTAGCCATTCTGCACTGTCCTCCTCTATCCTCACTCCTGCTTTCGCGCACGATCCTCCCCCCTTCTCCTCATCCGCCCTGGCCCGTGTTTGGCCTTCCCTCGCCCCTCCTCTCATGCCTCCGCCCCGCCTCGCTCCTCATCCCGCCTCCTGATGTCTCTCGTCTGACCTCATCTCTCCTTGTTCCTTTCCCAGCTCCTCCTACTCCGCACCCTCCTCCACCGCCGACTCGTCCCACTGGTCCCCTCCAACTCTCTCCACGCCAACTCTCCTCCTCCCTCCGTATCCTTCCGCTCCTCCCGGCCTCCTCCTGGCCTCCTCCAATCCTTCTCCGGCTCGTCCTCCTTTTCCTCCACCTTCTCCAGACCCTGCCGCTCGCGGCCTTCTCGAACCCGACGGCACCACGAGGGCTACCAGCATCAAGGCACCTCGTCCTGCTGCCTCTCGACTCGTCCTCCTACTCCTCCTCATCCCGCTCTACGCCCTCCGCTTCCCGCTCGTACCCCTGCCCAACTCCCCATCTCCTAATCCTGCTCCTGCCATTTCTCCTTCTGTTTGTAGGCCTCCAGAGGCCCCCGAAGTACAAAACATGCCAGAGTCTGTGTCCCCCCCTCGGCCCTCTTCATCATCGTTCCATTGCGGCCTCGGGATCCCGAGGATGGGTACATACTGCGGTACCGCATGCTGCCCAAAACGGGATCCAGCGCGGGAGTTCTTCAGAGTAGAGACCAATGGACCGGGCTTGGGGAAGGAGAGATGGGCGGACCCCATCAGAATCGCCATAGACCTCTGCCTGCTCGAAAAATCGTCACGTTCGGGCGTCCAAAAACAATTTCCACGCTCTGGAACAAGAAAATACTCTCCAAGGTGAAAAGCCGGCCCCTGGAAAACACTCGAGAGGTCCCGGGGGCGAGTTGTCTGCGGTAAGGGGCCATGGCAAGGCCAAGCGACAAACGAATCGCACCTGACTCGAACGGGGTTGCCTGATCTGGGCCTAGTCAATGTCCGTTGGATCCCAGTTAGGTGGGAGGAGGGGCGTCTCCTCGGCAAGCTCATTGGGCCCCTCAACATTCAGATTGACTTTGAACGAGTCGTTCAGGGTGAACAGATACTGGATGCCGGGGGCCGCAGGGTGACAGGGAACCAGGCCGCGCCCACAGGTCATCAAGAGGTTCCAGGCAGCAGATCCCACGCCGCATGGCCAACTTCTGACGATCAGGTAGTCCTGCGGGCTCGGCAGGTCCTTGCCAGGCTTGAAACTCCTCCAGAACCCCTCCATGTTGTGCTGCTGCGCGGTCCACGCCAATTCGTCCGTGAGCCCGATGAAGGAGCGCGAAAGGCTGCTCAGGGAGATGAACCATCTTGCAAGTGTCCAGAGACTCTCAACCTCGTAGTAGAGCTGGATCATGTCTGGCAGGGACCTCGTCTTGTGCGTAAAGGTTTTGCCGACAGTGCGGTTCCAGTACTGAAGCCGGCTCGCGTGCATCACCCATTGAAGGTACGATTTCTCTGACCAGGCCTTGTGCCCCATATCGGTGAGTTTCTCATAATGGGCCAGCTGCTCGATCCAGAGTTTCTCGTCGTTCGAAATGCCGCCCCAGTGATGAGCACGCTTGAGTTGGGCCAAACCCCAGGCTACAATCGTGCATAAGTGAATTCCGAAAACCCCCTGCCAGGGAGCGCAGTCACGGACAGAAAATTGTGAGACCGCTTGACGAGGAGTGCTGGGTGCCTGTCACACCCTCTCACGGCATTGGCCAAGGCTCGCCCACTGTGATTGCCCTCGCTATCCGCCACGTCGACTGGGCGCAAGGAATCCTCGATCGGCCCGTACTGGGAGCTGACCCTCAACCACCGTCCCGGGGGCCGAGCGCCCGCTCCGACTCCGACGGGGCTCTCCCGCTCTACAAGGGCGAGGGTGGGTCCCCCCCTCATGCTGCACCTCCTCCTGCTGCTCGCCCGGCCCTTCGAAAGCAGCAAGAGGTTCCCAAATGATCCCTTCGTCCTCGGCGATATGCCGAAAGGCTTCTTGGCTACAACGCTTGCAGTCCCCAAGACGCACCTCAACGCGTGCACGCCATCAACCTTCAAACAATGATCTTTTTTTACTCTGTAGATGCTGCCCGCAATGTGCTGATGGCGCGTGTTGATCATGTTCGGAGCACCGAGGAATTCAACAACACGCGCCCTGACCTCTTTGAACCATGGCTGCCGCTCGTTGAAATCGAAACCTTCCGGGACGCCTGGGTGTTCGAAAAGAGTCACGCGACGAATATTATTCCGAATGTCCGGGTCGCTGCTCATCTTGTAGTAGGTCAGACACGCGATGTACGCCCCGAGCGAGTGGCCTGTTAAGTAGATGTGGTGCCCGCGGCCACCCTTATTGACGACTGACTTGATGACTCCGTGGAGGAACTCTATCTGCTCCTGAGTGCGGCCGGAAGACGAGACTGGTTCGCGTAGGCGCTTTGGGATGAACTCACGAGTGCGCTGTGATCTATGTGGGAGTTTGAGGGAAGCCAGAAGCAGATGCCTGAACTCCACGTGATGGAACCACCAGGTCCTTCTATTTCGTGAACTTTCTGAACCCTCCTGTGCTGTTGTGCCCTCGTTCTGGATCTGCAGCGCCGCGACCCCCATTTCTCCTCCCACCTCCCCCCCCCCTTTCCTCTCCCTGACTCTGCTCTCCGTCCGCGTGTCCACTTTGGCGCACCCGCAAACGCTTCGTGCCCCCATGGGGAGCTTCAACTGGGGTCCCTGTGGGCGCGGACGCCCGCCGCCCGCCGACCCCCACACGTTCCGTGCCCCCGTGCGTGTCGTGCCCCATCGCAGAGCCCCATCCGCAGCCCAACATGGGGGCCATGTCAACCCACTCCTCACACGCTTGCTCCGCGGCGCGCAGGTCTAACGAGGAGAGGCCCCCCGCCCTGCGCTTCACGCAGCTACCGCGGGGCTGGGCCCCTCGCCGGGATCATTTTTTCCGGGACGTCGGAGGTCTTGCCTTAGGTCGGGCATGTCCCCCTACAGGCCGAGCTTCGACGAAACAAAAAAAACGTGGTCAACATATACTAGAAAAATCGTCTCCGGACTATTTCCCAACCATCCTGTGGTGTTGGGTCCTCGTTTTGAGGAGACGGTGCCCCGCGTTCGTCCCTCCTTCCTCCTCCTCCACTCCCTCACTCCCCTCCCTGCCTCTGCTCTCCGCATGCCCATCCCATTTTGGTACAATCCTCACACACTTCGTGGCCCCATAGGGAGCTCCGCCGAATGCCTCAGTGGCAGGGTTCACATGGCACCGCCCGGCACACCCCTCACACGCTTCGTGGCCCCATGGGAGCTCCGCCGAAGGCCTGACTGGCAGGGTATGCATGGCACCGCCGCCTTCATTTCGGCACACCCCTCACACGCTTCGCGGCCCCATAGGGAGCTCCGCCGAAGGCCTCAGTGGCAGGGTTTGCATGGCACCGCCGCCTCCATTTCGGCACACCCCTCACACGCCTCGTGGCCCCAGAGGGAGCTCCGCCGAAGGCACGGCACCGCCGCCTCCATTTCGGCACACCCCTCACACGCTTCGTGGCCCCATAGACAGCTCCGCCGAAGGCCTCAGTGGCAGGGTTTGCATGGTACCGCCGCCTCCATTACAGCACACCCCTCACACGCTTTGTGGCCCCATAGGGCGCTCCGCCGAAGGCTCTAGTGGCAGGGTTCACATGGCACCGCCGCCTTCATTTCGGCACACCCTCACACGCTTCGTGGTCCCATAGGGCGCTCCGCCGAAGGCCTCATTGGCAAGGTTTGCATGGCACCGCCGCCTCCATTTCCGGACACCCCTTTCGCGCGTCCTGGCCCCATAGGGAGCTCCGCCGAAGGCCTGACTGGCAGGGTTTGCATGGCACCGCCGCCTCCATTTCGGCACACCCCTCACACGCCTCGTGGCCCCATAGACAGCTCCGCCGAATGCCTCAGTGGCAGGGTTCGCATGGCACCGCCGCCTTCATTTCGGCGCACCTCTCACACGTTTCGTGGCCCCAGAGGGAGCTCCGCCGAAGGCGCCAGTGGCAGGGTGCGCATGGCACCACCGCCTCCATTTCGGCACACCCTCACACGCTTCGTGGCCCCAGAGGGAGCTCCGCCGAAGGCGCCAGTGGCAAGGTTCGTATGGCACCGCCGCCTCCATTTCCGGCACACCCCTCACACGCTTCGTGGCCCCATGGGAGCTCCGCCGAATGCCTCAGTGGCAGGGTTCGCATGGCACCGCCGCCTTCATTTCGGCACACCCCTCACACGCTTCGTGGCCCCAGAGGGAGCTCCGCCGAAGGCAACAGTGGCAGGGTTCGCATGGCACCACCGCCTCCATTTCGGCACACCCCTCACACGCTTCGTGGCCCCAGAGGGAGCTCCGCCGAAGGCCCCAGCGTCAGGGTCCGCATGGCACCGCCGCCTCCATTTCGGCGCACCTCTCACACGTTTCGTGGCCCCATACGAAGTGCATCCGAAGGCCCCCGTGGCAGGGTTCGCCTGGCGCGGCCGCCTCCATTTCGGCACGCCCCTCACACGCTTCGTGGCCCCAGAGGGAGCTCCGCCGAAGGCCCCAATGGCAGGGTTCGCATGGCACCGCCGTCTCGATTTCGGCACTCCGGGCACACGACACGCTTCGTGGCCCCAGAGGGAGCTCCGCCGAAGGCCCCAGTGGTAGGTTTCGCATGGCACCGCCGCCACCATTTCCGGCACACCACTCACGCGTTTCGTGGCCCCATAGGGAGCTCCGCGAAAAGTGGTGCCCACAGCCAAGTACCAGCAGCTGTATATGGTGGGGCCCTTCGCCAGGGTAATTTTTGACTATGTTTGAATATTCCTCCTGTAGAGGGACAGGCCCGACTTGACTCTTGGTCCAGGGTGGTGGGCGCGCTCTCTTCTCCCGAGGCCCCGCCTCCAGGTGCAGCGTCGCGCTCCCGAGGGCCACGTCGAAGTCGGCCCTGAAGTTCTGGCCCGACAGCACGGTGCCGCGGACGGCCAGGACGTAGGCCTTGTGCCGGAAGCTCCTGCCGGCGGTGCGCAAACATGGGTTAGCGATCATGGATTTGGCGCGCGGTTGCCAAATCCATGGATCGGGGGAGGTGCCCTCCCCAAAATGCGGCCGGTGTCGCCTCGTTCGGCGGCGGAAATCCGAGATTTCCCATGGAAGCGGGACCCGTCGCTGATCCACGCCCCCTGGATCCATGTTTGCGATCGCCTGATCCTGGACTCCAGCCAAGCAGGGGTGGGGGAGCCGGCCCACTGCGGTGCGAAGGCGGCGCTGCCTCGTGCGCTGCCTGCTGCTGCTCCTCCTTTCCCTAGTCCCTGCTCCCCCCCCCGCCCCCTCTCTCCGCTGTCTCATTTCCCGTACCCCGCCCCCTCCCCATTTCCCCTTCCCCCCCCCCCGACATTTCGCCCTCGCCCCCTCCCCCCTCGGCCCCAGTCTCGACTTCCCTACCCGTGCTCCCTCCCCCTACCCGTTCCCACTCTCCCCTCCCTTCCTCCCCTTCCCCTGCGTCCTCCCTGCCGCGCCCCTGACTTGCCCCCCACCTCGGGGCTCCTGAACACATCCACGCGCATGTCCCTGGCGGTGAGCTCCTCTCTGATGGCGGGAGTGGTGTCATGATGCGGGGGGCTCAAGATACAGCCCAGGAGTTACCTGGTCTCTGGAGTCGGCGCAGGACATCAGAAACACCTCCAAAATACTGCACCGTATCATTTTCGTAACTTCTTGCTCCTCTGATGCCTACCCTCGCGAGTGAGGGGGATGCGGGGGGATGAGAATGGAGGGGAAGGGGTGGCGGCGGTGCGGCGGGGAAGTGGGACAGAGGAGGAGGGGAGCGGGGGAAGGAGGCGGAGAACTGGGTAAGCTCCTCCCGCGCCACGCGGAGGAAGTTCTTCACGTGGTGAACCTCCAAGTTCGCCGCTGTGAAGGACGCCTGGGAGCCCAAGGCGTACCCGTACACGGAGGCGGCGCGCAGGGAGCCTTCCTCCTCCTCGTACGCCGAGAGGGGCGCCGGCTCCTCGTAGACGCAGAGCGACAGCGCGGCCAGCTCCTCGTTTGACACAGGGAGCCACGGCATCCACCGCATGTCGATGCCGGCGCACGGGGTGGCCATGCAACAGGCAACCTGGGCGGCTGGATTCAGTCCCCCTATGTCATAGGCCGTGGATGCTTCACTCGGATGTAAGCAGTACGTGCACCGTCCCGCCTTGGCAATCGACACTTGGCAGCGACGCATTGCATTGCGTCCTCTGCCTATTCCCTTTCCCCATTCACCTCCTCCTCGCCCTCCTCCTCCAGAGCTGCCCGGCTCCTCGCTACATCTGGCAGAATCTGGAAGTCGGCACCAAGAAAGTCTACTAAGCCGTGCGTTCCCGCTGCGTACCCATGGTATTCGTCTCATGGAGAACATGGAGGACCTTCTCTGTCCACCCTGGCGCCGTCATCCAAGGCCATCCGAGGCTATCCGAAGCCATCAGAAGCTAAGCGAGGCTATTGACGGTCGGCGAGACGCCGATCAGTGCCTTCCTCTCCTTCCTGCCACCTTCTCCCATCTATCTTTCCCTCCTTCTTCCTTGGACGCAACTTGATAGGTTACGTGTTGTGCTCCCCCCTCACCTTCAACAACTGCCTTGCGAAACGCACACCCATGCAGCTGCGTGTGTCACAGGGGATGGCCATTCCCTCATGCACTGCGCGTCGTGGGAAGGAAGGAATTGATGCTCCCTCTGGGTCGCGATCAACTTGATGGCTGTGCTGCGGTGACGGTCTGCGAGTTCCCCCGCTGTAGCCATAACTGGCATACCGAATTCCTACGGGAACGGATTGCGAGTTTCCCCGCCCAGGCCATGGCTGGAGCTCCCCATGGGGCGCGATCCGCTTGAGGGGTGTTCTACCTTGAGGCGGGGGACGGTCTGCGACGTCCCCCGCAAAGACCACAATTGGAGCTCCCGATTGGGCACGATTCGGGTGACGGGTGCGCCCTTGGAGGAGGAGGCCGCGTGCGAGACTCCACAAAAAGGGTACCGAGCATCGCTTGAGAGGCCCAAAACAGTACGGAAAGGGGGTCGTCTCTGCAAGTGTGTCAGGCCAAACTGACCAAACATATCAACCCTAACGCAAGCGCAGGGTCCTAAATGAGGCCACGTCTTCATCGTGCTCTTAGCGTTAGGTTTTTTCTTACTCCCGATGAGTATACACCCAAGCATGGCCTGGCCAGGATCCGAGGCCGTGCATGGCGACAATACGAACGAACAACGAATTATCCGACAGCGAATCCGAAACCAAGCGAAGCCGAGTACAATCAAAACATGTATTGAGAAGGGGTGGTATGGACGCAAGACCCTTGGAGGCCGAAGTCGGGATGTTTTGGGCGGCGGGCGACCAGTGAAAACAGCAAAGGACGGGCCGCAGAGGCAAGGACACCAGGGCACCCTAGACGAAGGCGTGCGTCCTTACTAGGCGCGTTGACTGCTTGCCGAAAACGGCCGAGAAGGTCGCGACGACGCAGCAGCGACGCCACAACCGACCGAGCCGAACCGACCGACTTGATCGCCGACCGCGACGCAGCCGAGCCGGTCGAGCCGTGCACAACCCTGGGGCCGGGGCCGATGTGTGCAGCTCGCGTCCCCCACCCCCCCCTCGAGCTCCCGTTAGTCAGCGCCCCTAAATCTTTGGGAGCGGACCAACGTCAGGAGACCCAAACCATTAGGGACAATAGGGACCTGAATCAGACTTTGTGCTACCAGGTTTGGGGGATCTGCCAGTCTCGACGATCTCCTTGCCGCCCCGCAGACCCACAGCGGCGCGGCTGGGCCGCGGCCGCGGCCCGCGGCCCCCATCGCGCGCGACGGGTGCCCGCAGCCTGCGGCGCCCGGGCGGCGGGCTCACCGCCTGCCCGGAAGGGCAGGGTGCGCCCGCGCGGGTGGGGGGCGCCCTGAGTCCAGAGAGGCGCCGAGCGGACGGGCGCCACGGCGTGCACGGGTGCCCTGCTTCCCAGACGTTCACGAGCGACGGCGTGCCATCGAACGAGAGGGCAGGAGCTGACGGCGTACACTCAATGCTCGTATTGAGAAGGGGTGGTATGGACGCAAGACCCTTGGAGCCCGAAATTGGGGTTTTGTTGGGCGACGGGCGAATAGTGAAAACGGCAAAGGACGGGCCGCAGAGGCAAGGACACGAGAGCACCCTAGATGAAGGCGCGCGTCCTCACCAGGCGCGTCGACTGTACGTGCACATGACGTCGGAATCTGAGGCATGATCCCACGGAGGCGAGATCCCATGGAGAGGTTCCGCGCAGGGCGTCCACGCAAGGTCATCTGGTATCCATGGGTTCGCGGCCGAGGAAACTGGACCTCGTGGCCATGAATGTGGCTCCTGAGCACGAGGGTGGCACGCTCACATGGACCAGTGATCTGTGGATCTGGTGCGTGGGCGCCAGATCCATGGATCGGAGAAGGTAACCCCGACACGTGAGGCCAATGATGCCTCATTTGGCGACAACGCAGGACCCGTCTCAAAACTGCGCGCCGTGATGCATGTCAGCGTTCTCCCGCCCACGACGGGGGCTCTAGCCCTCCTCCTCGACTTCCCTCGGCCCCCCTCCTCGACTTCCCTCTCCCTGCTCGGTACACCCCTCCAGGTATGCGCCAGCTGGCGCCTCTAGCAGCCAGCCCAGGTCGTCGCCTTCGAGCGCGTCCCAGTAGCAGAAGTCCGCCTCTGCGGGGCTGGGCGGCCGCCGTCGATCAAACAAAACAGGCACAAGCGGGAGGAGATGTTCGGTGGAAGGTCACAGGGCCGTTCAATGATGCACGCGCTTTTGAAGATTGTTACAGGTTCGTTCTATAGTTTCGCACTGGGGCAAAACTGAACAACAGTTAATGCGAACGCAGTACGGAACTAGAACCAAACTGGAACGACTGAAGAACGAAACTGCAACGACGCCGAAACGAAACCAAAACGAAACGGGCACGAAATTGCGACGACGCTGGCACGAACCTGGAGCGAAACTGGACATGCACCAGAACGAAACTAGATCGAAACTAGAACGTCCCATCGCTGATAAAGACAACCATCGAACGAAAGTGCAACGAAAACGTAAACCACTAATATGATTAGATATCTCGAGTGTCCCGATACCGTCATGGGAAAAGATGGGGCACACATTTTCCCCCGGGGCCCCAAGCTTACTTCTTCGGGTGCGATAGAATGGTGAAGAGAAGCTCGGACCCAAACGGCTCCTGAGGTGCTGTGCTGTGGCCCAGGAAGTGTTCGGCCCCATCTTCTACCAATAATTGGGCCCTGAAGATTCTGGAACCCAGTGCCGTCACGGATGCCAAGTCCCTGGATCCCCAACACACAAAAACTGCAGCCCCAGACAAAACACTGAACCCTAGTTTTTCTCGCTCGAAATCCCACCAGCCCTCTGGGCTTAGGTGATATAACGCGTTGTTTTCTTCTCTCTTCCACTGAAACCCCTCCCCCTACCCCCTCCCCTGGGCCAGGAAGGGGGGGGGTATCGAGGCATTAGAGCGTCCAAGATGGCCCAAGATTGCTCCAAGAGGGCTTCGAAGTCGCAAGATGGCCTCCAAGATGGCCCATGCTACTTCAAGATGGGTCAAGATAGCCTCCGACATGCCCCCAAGAGGCCCCAAGACAGCCCCAAGACGGATCCAAGTGCCCTTCGAGCCTTCCACGGCGCCCTCGAAGATGCCAAAACCGTTCAAAAGCCTAGGGAAAATCAATGTTTGTGGCATCATCGCCTTGTCGCTTCCGATGGGCTTTGGAAGCCTCAAGATGGCCCCAAGATGGCCCAAAAGAGGCCCAAGAGGGGCCCAAGAAGGCCGAAGACGGCCCCAGGATCGCTCAAGAGGCGCCCAAGAGCGCTCCAAGAGGGCCCCAAGATGCCGGTTGAGAGCCTCCGAGGGGGGGGCCGAATTCCTCCCCCCCTCTTTTTGAGCCATGGTGCCCAAGATGGCCCCAAGAGGCCTCCCAGCCTCTCCCGAAGACCCTCCACCCCGCCCTTTTTGGCCCAAGATGGCTCCAAGAGAGCCCCAGATAGCCCAAGATGGCCTTCAAAATTGCCTAAGATAGCCAAGCATGGCTCAAGATAGCCTCCGACAGCCCTCCAAAAGGCCTCAAGGCAGCCTCAAGATGGCCCAAGATAGCCGAGCATGGCTCAAGATAGCCTTCGACAGCCTCTAGCCGAGCATGGCTCAAGATAGCCTCCAAGAGGCCTCAAGAAAACTTGCAATCAGTTATGGATGGGCTGGGTGGGGTACGCGAAGCGTCAAGAATTCACTGCCGACGCCAGCCAACAAGATGGTCTCACCCAGGACGGTAAACTCACCATCGGATCGGCCGCTATGGCGGGGGGCGGGAAGAATGAAGAAGAGGAGGCGCGGCGGGAGCGCAAGGATGAACCGATGGAAGATGACAATGCTTACGACAATGCTGACGATGATGCTGATGATGACGACGATGATGATGATTATGATGACGATGATGATGATGATGATGATGATGATGGTGATGATGATGATGATGATGCTGCTGATGATGATGATGATGATGATAATAATGATGATGGTGATGATGGTGATGATGATGGTGATGATGATGACGATGAAGAGGAGGAAGAGGAGGAGCAGGAGGAGGAGAAGGAGCAAGAGGATGGGACCAGGAGCGGGATCAGGATCAGGGAAGATGATCAAAACCAAGTGGAGGGGGATGAGGAGGAAGTGAGAGAAGAAGAGGTGGGCAGCAATAGAACAGCGAGAAGGGGGTGTCCATGCTGCGCGTTCCGTAGAAGCCAGAAGGCAGGAAACGGCTGCGACATCACATCCTCAGATCGGTGGTGGACAGAACCCCCTTGAGCAAAACGCCCCTTAGTGAAAGCTTCCAGGGGCACTCCACGTACGCACGGCACCGCATTCCGAGTGCACCCCAGCAGGGGGTAGCTAATCGACGTCCAAGAAGAATCGAAAGCATCCAGCGAGACGCACGTGAGTTAGCGAGACTGACTGGGGACTGCACCAGCACGCCCGAATGCCAATGTCGAGCGAACCAGTGCAGATTTCACCAGTCGACTTGTTTGGGCGGGCGCTCTCCCAGCGCCCGATCATAGCTCCTCGGCTTCACCGCGGCGTCCTCCTGCGGGACCAGCCCCAGCCTCGGGGGCGGCCAAGAGGGGGGCGTCCAAGAGGGGGGCTGCAAATCATGGCCGGCGGCATGTGCGCGGCCCAGGGGGGGGGGCCAGGAACGTAATGAAACAAGAAGAGCGCGCCATGAAATCTGGGAAAATATCACGGCCCACGGCATGTTATCCGCCCCCCCTGGTCATCACCCCCCTCTTTGCCGTCCCCGACAGCCGCCCCCGCGCGAAGAGCCTCCGTGGGGCTGCGGGGCGGGGGGCGGCGGGCGGGGGCGCCGCGCGCGGCCTCCTCGACGCCAGAGACCCTCCTGACGGCGCCTGCGCGACGGGCCGGCGCGCCCCCTGAACACCGCACGGACCCCATCTCGTCCTCGTCGTCCTCGTCGTCCTCGTCTCGTCCTCGTCTCGTCCTCGTCTCGTCCTCGTCTCGTCCTCGTCGTCCTCTTCTCGTCCTCGTCGTCCTCGTCGTCCTCGTCTCGTCCTCGTCTCGTCCTCGTCTCGTCCTCGTCGTCGTCGTCGTCCTCGTCTCGTCCTCGTCGTCCTCGTCGTCCTTGCCGTCCTCCTCCTGCCAGGAATCCTTCCCGCCTCCCCCCTCCTGTCATCTCCTCGCTTCGCTTCCTCCTTGTCCGCATTGTCTTCCTCGTCTTGGTTCTGCTTCGTTGTCGGCCCCACCCCATCTCCTCGTCTTCCACGTCCGCCTGCCCAAGGGCGGAGGAGGAGGTGGAGGAGGATGGGGGGGGGAAAAGAGGGTGGAGGAGAGGGGTAGGGAAGGGAAGGGAAAAGGGTGAGGGTGATGCGGCATGAGGTGGTGGAGGATGTACGGGATTGTGTGCGGGGAAGGCCCAATGCGAATCTTGCGGCCGCGTGGGATGTCGGCATATGTCGGCACCTGCCCCGCCGCCAGCCACAAGTCCAGGCCAACGATCGCCCAATTTGACCTCGCTATCCGACGATAACACGCGGTCCCACCGCGCTCGCCTTCGCCGGGGCCTCCTGAAAACGCAACACCGGGAGGCTTTTTCTTGACCCCAGGCGTGTCATCGCGACCTCAGTGGGTCCTCGTCCAAGCGGCCCGACACGCAGCCGCAGGAGCGGCGCTTTCGTGCTCGGCCGCGGCAGCATGCATCCGGAAAAGCCTGGGCGAAGCTCCTACACCGCCCTCAGGGGCGCGAGGCAAAGGGAAAGGGGACGGGCAAGACGAGCGACCAGAAATGCAGGGAGAGCAGGAGACAGCATGGTATGCAGCGGCTCCATACACGGTCGTTACACCCTGCACACTGGCCATAGACATGGTGCCGATGCGATAATGAGCGTGCTCCACGGTTACCTCGTATTCGAAATCTACCTCAACGACTGCTCGGGAAAGAAGGACGGGAGAAGAGCTTTGGCAGTGAACAGGCGAGGCAGATTGCGGTGGCAACGCAAGGAACGGGGACGAGGACGAGGAATGAGAGGCGGTGGATGGGGATGAAAACTGTGAGGAATGAGGGAGAAGATCGGCGAGGGTGTGAATGGTTCAGCTGTAGCGGAAACAGGAGCAACACCAATACCATGCTAACGAAGCCCGCGACGAGGAGTGGGAAGATAATCGAGATGACAACGATACACGATGGTGCTGCACATGCTGATGCTGAACGTGATGATGTTGAAGTATTCCGACTATGCAGATCCGCATTCATTAATAGCTGCTGCTTCCCATTTGCCTGCTCCACCTCATCATCCAAATGCTTCCCCCTCCCAGTGACTAAACCGAATCCCTCGGCTTCCTGATTACTTCGTCCTCACGTCTGCTTGCCCTGTTGGGAAACACATTGGGTGCCCACAGACACCCAGGTACCTCTGTCTCCACCCGCAGTGAATGTACGCCTGACCTGAGGTAAAGATGCGCACATCGGATGAGGAGACATTAATATGAAGTCGAAGGTTTGGGACTCCTCCTCCTCCTCCTCCTCCTCCTCCTCCTCCTCCTCCTCCCCGACATCACCGTCATGACGGTTGGCCAGGCAAGGCCACGTGCATGTCAAACTCGCTTATTTCCAACGTGGGGTGGGCAACACACGGCGTCACCTTGCCAAATGACGGTCCACTATTTCCATCAGCGGTATTTCCATATGTAGGTCGGCCTCACACGGCATGTCGGTCCGTGTCAATCTCCCTTATTCCCAATCACGGGTGGGCAGCACACGGCGAGCGACCGTCTGATATGAGCCCATCCTCTTCTTCACTGCCTGGGGCGCGGCTGATGTTTGATCCATCGTCGCCGAGGCAGTCAAGCTGTTGGCCTTGTCAATTTGTTGTGGTTTCCGCGGCAAGCTGATGTGAGTGACAGAGCTAAGCAATCCGTGTGCACCGATGGCGGGGTTGTGTCCTTCTACGACCTCCGTTTCGCCGTCATGTGGCACCGCCTGTACATGGTCTGCCTTGTGGTGCTCTACGAATATAGCGGCTGGCTGTGTTCGCACTTCGTGCCTTCCCGTCTCCAGGCCCGCGCGCGTGCGCCTGGGTGGTGGAAGCTCAGCGTCGAGGCTGGCCCGACGCCCGCTGTGGGTTCACAGCTCCTGCCCTGCCCCGCCAGGTGCCTCAACAAGCGGACGGCTTCGAGCCCTGCTTGGGAAGGTGCTAGGGGGGGGCAATCTTGGCGGAGGTTGTGAGCCTACCTCTCTCGGCCGCTTAGGCCGCTCGGACTCCTGCTGCCTCTCAGCTTCTGCTCGCCCGCTCGCGGACATCACCGTCATCCTCGCGCTCCTCCACCAACTCCTCATCCTCATCCTCACCCTCCTCTCTACGTGCCCCTGCAAGCGCTGTGCGCAGCAGGCCCGCGTCAGCGTGACCAAAAAGCCAGCCGGAGCGCGAATTGCCCTCGCGAGTTGGCAGGTGCTCCTCTCAGTCAGAGCCACCTCGCCGCGGCAGCTGGGGGCACGGAGCAGCGTGTCAGGAGAAGAGGGCACCCAGCACGCTCATCCGAAGTGGGGCGGCATGGGGGCGGGGAGGAATGGGAAAAGCAGAGGAGGAAGAAGAGGAGGAGGGAGGAAATAGAATACAATCACCCAAACTGGGGGACCAGATAACCCCAAAATACATCAACGATGCATCCATGCACCCTCCCGTGTCACTTTGCGAAGCGTCCTGGTGAAAGACGAGCGTCCGACTGGCCCGCAATTGAGGCGGCGGGGGCACTGTTCTGAGAGAGACTGCCTTCTACGCTTCGAGCTAAGAGGCATGCCACGAGACGGTGTCATAACATTCGAGGGAAGGCCCAAGGACAACCCCGCTTCGAGAAGGAACCACCCTCAATCCGTGCAAATGTTGCACATGTTCGACTCGTCTGGACACACGGTTTGAGGTAGAGCGAAGACACGAGCGGCATCCTCATGTGGGAAAGAAGCAACACTCTGCCCGTGTAGGTCCTGGACATTCTTAGACGAATTCGCGAAGCACCAAGGCCAAACCCCATCAAAAAAAACGACCGCCCTCAATCCGTGCAAATGTAGGAATTGCTCAAGACGAGCGTGCGCGGCGCCAGGGCGAGGTCCCCATCTTGGGAGCGAGTCGCTCCCCAAACAAAACCATGTAGCTGTTCAAATTCCCCTCCGAACTTCAATATCTCAAGCGGTGAAAAGACTCGGGCGAAACGCCCGACCCGTTATGAGGATAGGTCTACCGGTGCGACAGCGAGGAGCTATCTACATGCGAGAGGGATAGAGGGGGGAGGATGGAGACGGGCAGAGGAGGGTCAGAAGGAAGGAGAGGAGGGTGCCGAGGGGTAACCAGGGACCGGGGAGCAGGAAGAAGAGAGGTCTAAGAGCGACTTAGAGAACGCGAAGTGAAGGCGACAACCGCGGAGCGAATCGCGGGCTGCTCCCCTGCGTTTTTTTCCACGCCCAGCATCATCGCGCGCATGCGCCAGGAATCCTGGAGACACCACGGCAGCAACCTGGACGGTCGCGGCCGGGAGGCTGAGGCAATTGCCGGCAAGGTTTGCCAGGTAACCCTGGGACAACGACAGAGCACATGCAAGCAGGAAGCGCAAGACTGACTCTGGGCACCACTGCTTGGCGGGATCCTGCATCGCTGCCAGTTACTTTTGCCGAGCCACTCTCGTGTTCAAACATATGGTATAACAAGTTACGAACTGGAACGAAGCGCAGCTATGGCGCTAACAATCAGAGGTCGGCGCATGCTCTCTCAAGGGGTGACAAGCCAACTACGCAAGCACATTCCTTGCGGAGTAGTCCGCATGCGAACGTTCATATGTTCGCGTTGGTACGCAGGCGCGCATGGGGGTACACATTCGCACATCGCATTTACACTATACATACGCACGTGGACGTGGGCAAGTCCACCAATTACATATACGCTTGGGCTTGAACATCGGCATGCGACTTACACGCAGTGCTGGCTGCTAGCGAGTGTAATTGCATATGCGTAGACGCGTATGAAAAATGGCGCATGACTTCTTGTATTCCCTGGTCTGCCCAGCAATCTGGGCCCACCTGCCACTCGCGCTTGCTGTGGAGGCGTCGCTGGACGTCCTTCTGACAGGCACTCCTCCCGAACTGCTGGACCTGGTGGCAGCAGGCCTAGACTTGGCTCTGGCTGCTGCAGTCGCGGGCCCGGGCGCCCGTGCTGGCAGCTGCCGGAACAGCGCGTCCGCCGCGGCGGGGTCCCGCAGCGGCTTGCCTGGAAGGAGGGAGAGGCCAAAGAGGGGAGGAGGTGGGGGAAGGAGGAAGGAAAAGGGAGGGGGGAGGGGAAAGGAAGCAGGAAGAGGAGTAGCCAACATTACCTGTAACACCCAGCTGTCCAGATACCAAGCACCACCTATTGCAGTTGCCAAAGGGAGCCCGACTCCGACAGGCACGGCAAGCCGAACATCGCCATGGGGCTACGACAAAATAGGACACCCATACGTCATCGCCTACGCCACCGGCTATCCGACTGCCGCCACCACGGGCCAAGCAGCCGCCATCTACACGCGCCGGCGCTCACGCCGAGGCTGCGGCCCAGGGCGTCGACAGCGACGAACCTCACCAAGGTACTACCTTTGGACCAGGCAGCTGTGACGGCAAGAGCTGCTACAACAAGCAGGGTGACACAAGACAGACAAACACCATCAGCCAGAACGAGCTCAATCCCACTAGCGACCAAGGAAGCGCAAACCAACCCACCGAAGAACAGGTACAAGGTCCGACACAAGAAGAATATGTCCCCGTCGCGATCTTCTCCAAGACAGCTTTGGACCACCCAGACGGCGACGTCAACCAGGTCCACAAGGCTTACAAGGACTGGAGCCCAGAGGACAAGTACAGGGACAGATGCATCACAATCCAAACGCATGAACACGGCGAGGACCCTGACCCACCGCGCCGCCACGCCGAGGGAATGGAACCAAACCGCATGATCGAGCACGACGCGGTCGTCGCCAGCATCACCGATACCATCGTGACGCCTCAACATGGACACGGCGGCTCTGGACGAGCACCGCAGGGTAATTCACGACATCGCGTACCGCACCATCTACCACCAGAGAACCGCGCACCGTCGGATCAGCCAGAACAAGGCTTACAGCAGTCCAGCTGCGGACACAGGGTCCCGCGACGGCAACCACGACTAGCTCCGCTAGTCCTGCCGATCCGACTCCACCAACCGACGATGCCTCTACCCTCCGCCATCCCTCCAGACACGGGCGGAAACTGGGCGCTGAGAACAGCCGCGCACGCAGCAGCGACCTCGGCCAGGAGCCTGGCAACTACGACCCCGCCCAGCGCTGGCCGCAGGACCCGTGGCGCGGCCACCCTCACCATGAGGAGCACCGGCAGCAATGCCACACCTGCGCCAGACCTCTCAACTGCAGCCACCCACGCCGGGCGTGGCCTGCCCATGCCTCCTCTTAACTTGCCCCGCCGACGGAACCACCACGACTCGGCTGGCTCCCACGTTTTCCACCACTCTCACCCTCTTCCGCTACCCCACTACGCGATCACTGCCACCACGGAAGCAGCAGCAGCAGCAGCAGCAGCAGCAGCAGCATAAGCTGATCACGACGCGGCATAACAACACCTACCCACCAATACTCCCGCGACCGCTACTCTCATTAGGCGCAGCAGCTGACACAGGCAGAGTCCTCACCGCCTCAACTTACGTCCACTCCCACATATGCCATGCGCTGTGCTCACATACCTACCCCCATTTCGGCTACGGCGAGGGCATTCTTAGAGCTCTTCGAGGGCCGAAGCCCGCGCGCGCATAAATTCGCGACCGCGCAAACAGTGCTCGCACAGCCCGCAAGCGGGACCACCAGCCCCCAAGGCGGCGATTACCTCCGCGCACACCGTTGGCCTTCGGCCTGGGGTCCACCGCCTGCGTTCTCACAGTCGCCGCGCGCGCCAGCCGCCCGCGCGACGTTCAACGGCTCCGACGTAGCCTCGTCCTCGTGCTCGCCGCGCACGGTGGACTCGGCATCGGAGCTGGCGAGCTGGTCTCGGGCGCGCCAGGCCTCGGGGGGGTGGGGCCACCCTGCCAGGCGAGCCAGCCACATCGCTGCCACCCGTCGGCGGATCCACCTCAGGCGCCGAGGCTCCCTGGCGCGCACCAGCTCCTGCTTCGCTGACTCAAGCTCCTCGTCGCACTCCTGCGCGCAACGGCCAGCGCCGTCGGGCACGCCCAGCGCGTCGAGGAGCACGACGGCCTCGCCCTCGTCGGGGCTCATAAGGTCCAAGAGCGAGTCCTCCACTTCACCAGCCTGCTCCATCTGCGCAGTGATCTCCGCTTCACCTTCCAGCGAAAGCGCCTCGATCGCCTCGAAGTCCTGCGCGCTGAGGCGAAGCGCTGAGACCCCGCGCACGAGCTCCGCGTGGTAGTCGGCCGCAGGCTTCCGAATGGACCCCAGCTGCCCGTTCAAGACGGCCTGGACAGTCCGCTCGGCCTCCCGCGGCCCCTGCTCGGCGAACGCCGCCTGATCCAGGGGCTCCTGCAGCCCATCCGATGCGCAGGCGATCTTGGCCTCCTTGTGCCCGTGGCCTTCGCCGAAGGGCCAGTGTTCGACCCTGTAGCGGTCAGCGTCGTCCTCCTGCTCCTGCGCTCGGCCACTCAAAAGTGCCCCGTCGAAACGGCCGAGGCATTCCAAAACCCTGGATTTCAAGCCGAACTCCGACGGGTAGGCGAACTCGTCCGAACATGCCGTGGTCATCGTGTCGTCGCCCATCGCCACGCCAAGCCCGACAAGCGGCTCCTCCGCGTCATCGGCGTCGGCGATGGGGCCGCGTGTGGCAGCAGGGTTCGACGGCGCGCCGTCGGCGACGCCCCCAGCCTCCGACCCGCCGCGCCGAACCGCGGGCGTCGTCGGCACGGGCGCCAGCAGCTCCGCGGTCACGCCCTCGCTCCTCGAACGACTCCTCGAGCTCCGGCCCCGCGGCGGTCTTTACCTCGGCTCCGTCCCGCTGCCCCGCCAACCCCTGCACGCGCGCCTGGAGCTCGGCCAGCCTCCAGCCAGCCTCCAGGCCCTGCCCGAACGCAAGGGCGCGGCCCTCCGACACCTGGTCGCGCTCGAGCCAGGTCCCAAGGGCGTGGGGCTGCACCTGCTCGAGGACCAGGGAGGGCTGCGGGGGTCGGCGCTCGCTCTCCAGAAGGCGCGCGAAGCGCACGCCGCGCGGGCGCTGGCCCTCCTGGCCCGAGCGGCGGGCCGTGCTGCGCAGCTCGCCACTCCGCCCAGCCCGCTCCAGCTCCTGGCAGCGTCCGCGCGTGCTGGGCGCAATTCAATTCCACACGAGGCGTGCCTCGTCGGCGGTCTGCTCGCCCAAGATGCCGGCCACCAGCGCCGGGCGGGAGAGGCGCTCGCGCCTGGCCACCTCCGCCTCGAGGTCGGCCAGGGCGCCTTCCCTCAGCGGGCCGCAGGGCTTGCCGTGCAGAGCTCTCCAGAGGCCGCGCTCGCAGGCGATTTGCCCGCGACGCCGAGCGGCGCGCCGAGCACCGGACGCCCCTCGCGACTCGGCCTCCGCCTCCCGCATGGGCCGCGCCGCGCGGCCCCCCGAAGCCATTGGCACCAGAACCTGGCTTGAGCCAAAATGGCTACGGACGGCGGGGGCATTGGTAAATAAGGAATCCAGGGTCTGGAAGCCCGCGGAACTCCAATCGAAGAGTGGCCATGGGTATCCGCCGACCCCTTGGGGATCATCGGCGCGTGAGATGCTCCCCCCTCCCCAAACCCCTCCCCCAGGAGCCCGGTCCGGTCGATTTGGAGGGGGGGGAGGGGGGGCCGACGAGCGACTCACGGGCTCTTCTGGGCCCAAGAAGGCGTAAAGATGGGCCAAGAAGGCCCCAAGAGGCCTCCAAGACGGCCCACGAGGGCCCCGAGACGCCAAACCAGCGCTCCAAGACGCCTCTGGGGCCCCAAGACGGCACCAAGAGGGGCCCAAGAGGGCCACAAAAAAATCAAAACATCTAGTTTTCCGCCCTCAGGAGCCCCAGGGGGCCCCAAGAGTGCCCCCAGAGGCCGCCAGAGGCTTCCAAGAGGCCCCTTAGACGCCCCAAGGAACCCCCAAGAAGCCCCCCAGAGGTTCCGAAACGGCCCAAAGACGGCCCAAGAGGTCCCCAAGACGGCCCAAGAGGGCCCCAAGACGGCACCAAGAGGGGCCCAATAAGGGCACCAAACATTCAAAACATCTAGCTTTCCGCCCCCAGGACCACCCCAAGAGGCCGCCAGAGGCCCCCAAGAGGCCCCCAAGACGCCCCAAGGAACCCCCAATAAGCCCCTCAGAGGCTCCGAAACGGCCCCCAAGTGGCTTCAAAACCGCATTCGACAGGCTTCCGAGAGGCGCGCCGCGAGATCCCAATACACATCCAAGAAGCCTCTAACCCATAACCCATGACCAAGAGCATTCCTTCCGTGTTCCGCTCCTTCTCCTCATCCTTCTTTTCCATCCCGGTGCACAAGTGGCTTCAAAACAGCCTTCCAGAGGCCCTGGAGATGCGTGCCGCGAGACCCCCATACACATACAACAAGCCTCTACTCAGGGTCTCCCTTGTCATCCTCCTCCTTCTCTTGCTCCACTTCCTCCTCGTTCCTCTCCTCTTCTTCCTGCCCCGCTTCACCTTATCCTCCTCGATGCTTCTTCTCCCCATTTCCCGCCTCACCGCCCATCCTTTTCCCCCGTCCTCCTTTTTCTCCCCAGTACGCGCACCCGAGTGGGCATCATTTGCATGTCTTGCATTTCAGGGTGCCCTTTTTTGCGTCGCGCGGGACATTGTGCGGGTCGGGGTACGCAGACTTTGGTAGTCTTCTCTTGCACGGGCCGTTACACTGATACGCCTGGCAACTGCGCGCTGTGAACCCGAGTGTCTTACAGGCTCCGCACACCATTTTGGCTCCTTTTGCCTGTCGATGATCTTCCACTTGCTTCTGCTTCAAATGTTTCGTTTCCCCTATTTTGACACCAAAACAAGAATCTGCGCTGGAACCGCGGAAGGAACCGCTGCTCCGCTACCATATATGGGCGGCGTGAAAACCGCCGACCCCTTGGGGATCATCGGCGTGTGTGATGTGTCGCCCTCCACAAACCCCTCCCCCCAGAGCCCAGTCGGGTTGATTAATTGCGCACGTTGGTGGGCGACCCGCTGGCAACCCATACTGCGCCACTCAATGGAACAACGCGCACGGAACACTAACACATGACGCTTTGAGACCCCCCTCACCCCACCCCTACCCGGAAACGCACACGTACACCACAAAGCCTGCATCTGCAGCCGGACTGCCCAGGGCCCGCCCCACAAAAAAAACCGACGCACCCGAACAAAGCACCCCAAGGGGTCGGCGGTGTGGCGTAAGCCAGAGAATCACCGCCGCCCTCATCAGATAAGGAATCCTCCAGGGTCTGGCGCCTCCTGCGCACATTCCTTAACCAAGCCCCCACCGTACCACTCTCGGTAACCTCGGCCGACACACCACCTCCCACGGCATGAGCAGCTCCTCCCGCGCTACGTCCACAGAGGCAACTCCCTGGTCTGCGCCAAGCTCCACTCTTCGGCATCTCCATCTACTTCAGTGAGAGGGGCTACTTCAGCACAGGCCGCCGTGGGGGGTACAGCCCCCACGGCGGCCGCGGACCAACAGCCGCGCCACCTTAAGAGCCAAGCCGAGGTAGCCACCACTCCCCCTCCTCTGGGGGTGGTGGCCCCGCTCGGGCCAGCTCCCCCACCTACTCTCGCACTTTCCCTCCTCCTCCTCCTTCTCCTCCTCCTTCTTCGCCGCCACGCACCGCTTTGCGCCTTGGACGCCGCCTTGCGCCCACGCCCCCTTCACCTCACCAACACGCACCGCCCTCTCACGCTGCGTGCCGCCGCTTCGCACCGCACCTCTTCCACACCTCACCTCGCGTCGTGGGCAACGAGGAGGTAGGCGGCCCCCACTCCAGGAGAGGCGCGCCGAGGTGGGTCTCAGCCCCCTCAGGGGGCTGGGGCCCACGCTCGGGCCCACACACACGCGCACTCAGGACACAGACAGTCTCTCCTGTTCTTCCACCCCTCAGCTACTTTCCTTATCACGGACTGCTGTTCGATTTCTTGTTTCAGCCCTCTCCTACCTCTTGTTTGTTGTTTTCCCCTTCCACCGACTGGTGGGAGGGGTTCGAGGGCTCCAGCCGTTCCACAAGACAGTCCGTAGCCTCGAGCTTCGAGGAGCAGGAGTAGGAGGAGGGATCTCTTCTGCGGATCTTGTGGATACCAGGCCATTCCTGGAGGGGCGCCGAGGGGGGGCGGGCCACCCCCCCACATGGGCTCCTGAATCCCCTCCCTCCTCCCAGCCAGGAGCGGACGGAACCCCCGAAAAGGCCCGACACGCTGCCAGGGCCTCCCCCCCGCCCTCTCCTTGGCGGAGCGCCCCACGGGCCTCCCAGCGGCCGCGCCGGCGTGTGCTGCGTAGGCCGCGGGCCGAGGGCGGCGGCGACGGGGGCCCCTCGGCGGAGAAGAAGGAGGGACCCCAGCCACTGCTCCGTCCCCCCCCCCCCCAACCCACCAACCTGAAGGAGGCATGGGCAAGCCTCCTCCTCCTCCTTCTTCTCCTTTTCCTTCTCCTTCTCCTTCTCCTTCTCCTGCTCTCCTCCTCCTCCTCCTCCTGCTTCCTCCTCCTCCTCCTCCTCCTCCCTCCTCCTCCTGCTCCTCCTCCTCCCCCCCCTCCCCCTCCTCAACCTCCTCCTCCTCCTCCTCCTGCTCCTCCTCCTCCCCCCCTCCTCCCTCTCCTCCCCCTCCTCCTCCTCCTCCTCCTCCTCCTCCTCCCCCTCCTCCTCCTCCTCCTCCTCCTCCTCCTCTCCTCCTCCTCCTCCTCCTCCTCCTCCTCAATCCTAGTCCGCTCCCTCAATGCCAGCGCGTCGCCGTCAACGGAAACCCGAGGTTGTCTCCCCCTCCCCGAAGCCACATGTGAGGAAGCTGTGTTTCGCACCCCCCCTGGAGGAGCCCAGCGCATCGACGACCTCTCGAGAGAGGTGTCGAAACCGTTGGGCCCCCAAGGGGGGCGGACGGGGCGTACCCATCGCATCGACGATCTCTCTTGGGAGGTGTCGAAGCCGTCGGCTCCCTAAAGGGGGTTGGGAACACAGCGCCCCCAGCTGTGGTTGGTCTGAACTATCTGCTTCCCCCCTGGCAGTTCGGAGCCCCAAAACCGTGTGGTGACGGACCGCGTGGTGACCTCGGAATCCTCAACGACCTCACCGCGCGGACCGTGACCATGATTTTGGGACCTCGGAGGCCCCAGTCGCCCGAGACATCCTCGGAGAACGGCCCGATTCCCAAAACCGTGCGGTGACCCCGAATCGTGACCCCGAATCCTCACACCGCTCCGGTTGGGAAGCCCTCTGCAGATCCGAATCACCTTCGGCGAGGCGGGGCCTGGGTGGGACGAGTCGAGGCGAAGCGCCGGTCCGCGCGAGAGGCCGCGGCGGTCCGGGTCCCTTGTCGGGGTCCAGAATGCTCGCCCGCTCCTCCCTCCAGAGGCTGCGGACAGTTTCGCGCTGATGCGGAGATGTCCTCGCCCCTCCTCCTCCAGATGCGTTTCCCTTGCGCAGGCAAACATAAACGTGGGCCGGCCCCAATGGGAAACCGTCCGGGGGGGGCCCCCGAGGGAGACCAACAGGGCGGGGACGACACGCGCTCCTCCTCCTCCTCCTCCTCCTCCTTCTCCTCCTCCTTCTCCTCCTCCTCCTCCTCTTCCTCCTCCTCCTCCTCCTCCTCCTCATCGGCGCCGATACGTTTCGTGGGTGAACTCGTTTTTTGATACCCGCCCTCCATAGATTTTTGCTAGTCCTGCCCGAGTGCGGGACCAATGCCGAGTTTTGGAGCCATGGCGTTGTTCCCCGACTCGTTTGCAACATTCTTCGTCCTCCTCCTCATCCTCCTCCTCCTCCTCCTCCTCCTCTTCCTCCTGAACCTTCTCCTTCACATCCACCTCGTACCCGTCGTCGCAGTGTTCCTCCCCTCTTTCTCCGTCCTTTTTCTTCGTCCCTTCCCCCCTCCCCACCCCCCTCCCTGGACAACTGACGGCTCTGACACTTTCGAATCGCCAGCCCCCAGAGCTCTTGGCCCCTTCCCCCAGCCAAGGCTTCACCCCGAGTCGATCAATTTTGTCGATGGCCCTCAGGCCCAGAAACGGCTTCCGAAAACGAACGTCGCAAACGGGACTACAACCTCTCAGATCGCAGGAAATCGGGGCCCTCCGCATTCTCGAATCAGGTGCACGATATTTCACCGGGGGGGACAATAAAAGCGGGGTTGAGAAACGTGCACAGTCTGCGCCCGCGGCCGCTATCTGCGGTTGGCGTTGGAAACACCGCGTGCGACGTGGCGCCGCCGGCCTGCTCATCACACGCTGTCCCCCACCTTGGGGATCGCGCGCACCGAGGAAGCCTCGGCATGTGGGATGGCCTGCACAGGAGGGGCCCCTCGCGGGGGGGATCGCGCCGCCTCACAGTGCCACAGGAATGGCGTGCCTGGCGGAAGTCGACGCTGCAGGCTGTCTCTCCAAGGCCAACAATAAGGGCCATTCAGGGCCCCCTTCGGGCCACTTCCCTGCAATCCTCGATCCCTCCACACTTGTTTCCCCCCATCCCGTCCGCCGATACAACCCTCCGTATCGCAAGACATCTGGCCACGCCCCGACCCCCGCCCTCGCGCGCGTCCGGCAGCCTGCGAGGCCCTGCCCCCCCCCGATCCCCCTGGGCCGCGGCATGCTCCGACTGCCAGGCAGCGGCGCTAGCGGCCACGGCGGCGACGACGACGACGCCGCCGCCGCCCCCACCGCCGACGACGACGACAACGACAAGGCTGGCGGCGATTGCGGCGACGGCAGCGCGGACCGACGACGTCGAAGGCGTCGACGACACAGAGTGCGACGGCGAGCAGGGCTCCGAGGCCCGCCCCGCGGGCGGTCTGCCTGCTAGCGGTGCCGACAACGCCGATGGCGCCTGCGGGTGCACACCGCGCGTGCACGCCGGCCGGGGTCCCACGACTGGCCCGCTGTCGGGGTGCGCCGAAGAGAGATGCCGTCCTCGCTGTTTGTCGGTCGTTGTCATCCGCCGTCCGTCGTTGTCGTCGTCGTCGTCGTCGTCGTACCATGGCCCGAGGCACGTGCGCGGGCGGGGAATGATCAGGGGACGTGTTCAGAGGAGAAGCAGGGGGGGCATGGAACCTGGGAGATGTCAAAGCCACGGCCATGATGTCCACACGCCCCGAGTCCTCCCCTCCCCCTTTTGGGTGCCCCCCGACCGTGGCCGCCCCTCATCGCCCATTGTCGAAGTTGTTAGGCCTCTCTGGGCCCTCTCTGGAGGCACCTCGTCGCCACGGTCTTTGATCTTCGCATCGCGGGGGTGAACTAAAGAGCGACGCCGTCATCAACCACCAACCATCCTTCGGACTCAGCCCGAGGCGTCGCTGATGCCGATTCACGATACGAGGGCAACCTCCTTTCCCTAGGGCGCAGTCGCCCACGAAAGGATTGGCAAACCAAAGCGGAACATCCCAAACACATGGAAACATGAAGACACTTCGATGGGCGCGGCGCCCAATGATTTTTCCCCGACGGCATCTGGATTTCCAAAACGGCGCCAAGACCCTCTGTAATATCACAAAGATGGTCCCCCGAGGCCCCCAGAGGGCCCCAATAAAGCTGACTGCGCGCCCTGTGCAACTACCAAAAAATTCTCGAGTGGGCCCCGTGACAGGCACAAATCTGGGCCGCACGCGCGATGGGTCATATCCCGCGCTTCGTCAGTAGCATGGCCGAAGAACCTGAGAACGCCCCAAGGTCATCCAAGAAACCTCTGGGACCCCAGCGGGCTAGAACTGGAGCTCTCAAACATTCTCGTGACTAGCAGACCGCCAACTGCCCCCAAAGAAGCCTCCGCAACTCTGCTACTACGAAGCCCTCCAGAGGCAACTGACTGAAAGGCCTCCAGGAGGCCCCGAAAAGCCTCGCCGGCGGCGGCGGCTGCGGCGTGGACGACGGCAACCGCTGCGGCGACAACGGGGGGCGGGTGAGGGGGTCGGGGTACCTGGCCGGTTTGGTCGTGCGCACCCATATTGGGCGCGTCGAGCCGATACGCTGAGCGAAGGGCAGACATGGCTCCGTCTCATTTACTCGCCGAGCGCGTTCCACTACGCGCAAAGTGCCTACTCGCAAACGTTCAAAAAAACATGCCTTCCTCTATGTAATATATCGTAAATCCCCCGCGGCCGATCCAGGCAATTTGCGAGTAGTTGATTTGCGAGAAGTGGAAGGCGCCTGTCCACTTACGGCCCTGGCAGTGGGGTCGGTGCTCTACACGCGTGCCCGCACTGCGGGGGCCGGGCCACGCAATTGCGAAACAATTGTTGGGCTTCGTCTTCCACCCTTCCCCTTTTGCGGCCTGCTGACTCTCAACTCCTCCCCCATAGCTCCTCGTGCCTCCTCGGTGCACGGGCCGCTGCCTCCTCGTGTTCCTCCTGCTCTTCCTCTTCCTCCTCCTCCTGCTCCTGCTCCTACTCCTCCTCCACACCCCTCCTCCTCCTCCTCCTCCTCCTCCTCCTCCTCCTCCTCCTCCTCCTCCTCCTCCTCCTCCTCCTCCTCCTCCTCCTCCTCCTCCTCCGTTTCTTCTTCTTATTATGATTGTCCTTCTTATTGTCATATTATTATTCTACGTATTCCTCCTCCTCTTCCGCCTTCTCCTCCTCCTCTCCCTCTTCGTCCTCCTCGTGCCGCCTATTCATGGCTCTTCCTCCACCCCATTATTCCTGCTCCTCCTCCTCCTCTTCCTCCTCCTCCTCTCCTCCTCCTCCTCCTCCTCCTCCTCCTCCTCCTCCTCCTCCTCTCATCATCATCATCATCATCATCATCATCATCATCATCATCATCATCATCATCATCATCATCATCATCATCATCATCATCATCATCATCATCATCATCATCATCATCATACTCCTCCTGAACCTCCTCCTCCTCCTCCTCCTCCCCCTCCTCCTCCATTCCTGTTCTTTATAAATAACGTATCCCTGTCGCACCCCGAAGCGAGTTGTTAGGGCGGGCCGGGCGTTTCGCCTGAGACTGCCTCACCACGTTTGACTCTGAAGCTGAAAACTTGGCAACCGTTTTTGCAGATGGAGGGCGGATGGTTTTCAAACTGTGGCTCTCGCCTTAACGCCGCGCATTTTCTTTCTAAACCGTTGCAATACCTTCACGGGTTGATGGTTAACCGTTTTCAAAATGTTGCTCTCGCCTCAGCGCCGCGCACGTTCGTTCTAACAAGTTGCAAAAGCTGCACGGGTTCAGGATAGGATAACCCATGTTCAAAATGTGGTTCTCGCCTTAGCACTGCGCACATTAGTTCTCAACTGTTGCAACAATTTGACGGGTTGAAGATACTCCGTTTTCAATGTGTGGCTCTCGCAATTGCGCCGCGCACATTCGTTCTGAACAATTGCAAGTGTTCCACGGGTTCCCATTATCAACGTTCCGGGCATGGTGTTTTGAAGGGTTCATGATTTTCCGCGTGCAACAGTTACGTTGGTTCGCGGTGTTGAGATCCATTCTGGCACGACCCAAGATCGTCAAGACGCGACAGTCAGATTGACCCGTGGCGTTGGAATCCCGAGCAGTGGTTTGACAATATTCTGGGTCTTCAAACGGATGTCTTCCAACGAAGCAGACCCCTCAATGGAAATGAACCGTTGTGGGTGCCCGTGAAAAAAAAGGAGCTTGAAGGAAGGGTGGGTTTCAACGTCGCTGATGGTTCTTGGGTTTACACTGGTCGTCCTGCTCCTCCTCCTCTTCCTCCTCCCTCCTCCTCCTCATTCCCCTCTCCTCCTCCTCCTCCTCTTCCTCCTCCTCCTGCTCCTCCTCATCCTTCTCCTCCCCCCGCTCCTCCTCCCCCTCGTCCATCCTCGTCCTCCCCGTGCATCCTCGTCATGGCTCTTCCTCCACCTCGTCCTCCCCCTCATTGCCCCCTCCTCCTCCTCCTGCTCCTGGTCCTTCCCCTCCTCGTCTTGCTCCTCCTCCTCCTCCTCATCCTCCTCCTCCCCCTATTCGTCCTCCTCGTGGATCCTCTTCATGGCTCTTCCTCCGAATATTATTCCACCTCCTCCTCCTCCACCTCCTCCTCCTCCTCCTCCTCCTCCTCCTCCTCCATCTCCTCCTCAACCTCCTCCTCTTCCTCCTCAACCTCCTCCTCTTCCTCCTCGTACTCATTCTCCTCGTCTTCCCTCCTCCTCCTCCTCCTCCTCCTCCTCCGCCTCCTCCTCCTTCCCCTCTTCCTCCCCGTCCTCCTCCTACTGCTCCTCCTCCTCCTCCACCTCTTCATCCTCCTCCTCCCCCTCTTCGCCCTCCTCGTGCATCCTCTTCATGGCTCTTCCTCCTCCTCCTCTCCCCTCCTCCTCCTCCTCCTCATACTCCCCCTTCTCCTCCTCCTCCTCCTTCTCCTCCTCCGCCCTCCTAATCCTCCTCCGCCCTCCTCCTCCTGACCCTCCTCCTCCTCCTCTTCCTCCCCTTCCCCCCTCCTCCTCCTCCCCCCCCCCCCCCCCCCCCTCCTCCTCCTCCTCCTCCACCTCTTCCTCCACCTCCTCCTCCTCCTCCTTCGCCTCCTCCTCCTCATCCTCCTCCTCCTCTTCCTCATCCTTCTCCTCCTCCTCTTCCTCCTCCTCGACTTCCTGCTGCTGCTGCTGCTGCTGCTGTCGTTGCCGCTGCTGCTGCTGCTGCTCCTCCCCCTCCCCCTCCTCCTCCTCCTCCTCCTCCTCCTCCTCCTCGAGCGTAGCCGCGGGCCTGGTCCATCAGGTCGTTGGGCGGCCGACCTGGTGGCGGACCAGCCTTATGATGGCTCCGCCCGTCCTCGCACTGAGCGGGGGCGGTGAGGTCCTAATCTCATTATGAAGGTGAACTGCATATACAACTACTCTGAAATTACAACGAGAGGGATGACTGAGGCCGAGGCGGGCGATCGGACAGCGGGGGAGCTGGAGGACGCGGGCAGTCCGCGCAAGGAGGGTGAGAAAGACAGGGCAAGACCAGAGATGACGAAACGTGTGCCTCGCCTGCTGACAGCAGGGACACGGTTCCTGCTCCTGAAAATTTGAGGCAGTGATGCACCCGCCCACGAGGGTCCGCATTACGGCAGCTCTCCAGGAGGGAGGGAGGGAGAGGAGGGAGGTGCGTACTTCAGGCCACGGGATGGGGGCGATGGACTGGGCGAGGTGCGGGAACCAGGACCTGAGCCTTCGGAGAAAGAGATATTGGAGCCTGTCAGGGAATAGATGAGCATGAAGCAGAAGAGAGAGATGACGCTGTGGGTGGAGATTGTGGGGAGGCAGAAGACGAAGATTATGTTGATGTTGAATCTGTTGAAGTTGAAGAATGGCAGGAACACATAATTCATGTAGAGGCTCTGATGTGGGGAACCCTTGAGAGGCTGCTTCGAGGGTGCTGACCAACGCGGGGGACTCCCAGAACTCGGGCCACAACTGCTGGCGCCAGAAGTCGGGCCACTGGTGACCTCTGAGAATGGTGGCGAGCGGGAGCGTCTCCTCTGCGGATGACTTCAGGCTGTCGAACAGAGGGCGCCACCCAGGGAGGGTAAAAAGGCTTGCTCGCACCAACTGCGCGATGTTCGTGCACCGTGCGCCCCTGATGCGCGGGCCGCCCCACTTCTCGAGGTTCGGCCAGCCTTCTTCGTCAACTCTGAAGCACGGGAATTTGAAAGTACTGGCCAGGGCGGCCGCTTCTCTTTTCCTCATCTCGGGCAGGAGGAGCTGGAACTGGCCAACGTACGAAAGGGCAGCGAGCACTCGCCTTGCATACATCGTTGCTGTCAGTTCTGAGGGGGGGGCCCAACCTCCGACAGAGCACGAGCACGCTGAAGATATTACGTCCACGGGGCACTCCATGAGGTCCGAGGGGGAACCGCAGGGCCCAGCCAGAGGCCAAGGTAGAGCGCCATGG